TTCTTCTTCTTCTTCTTCTTCTTCTTCTTCTTCGGATTTTATTCTATTATTTCAATTATTAAACTGTTTTTATCTCAACCCATGAGTTTTCTCACTTTTACTCTTCCAATTCTCTCCCCCATCCCACCGGGGCGGGGAGAGTGAGTGAGCGGCTGTGTGGTGCTCAGTTGCCGACTGAGGTTAAACCATGACACCTTCTCTCCTGAATAAGTAAGAACTGGTACAGAATGGGAAGGCAGTCTTAGCTGCAGTGACCATAAAAAGATCCTGATGGACTTAAGGAAGGGGAATAGCAGTCTAAAGACCCTGGACTTCAGGGGCTTGTTCAGGGAACTAGTAGGAGGGATCTCATGAGAGACTGAAGGGCAAATGAACCCAGGAGAACTGGCTGACCATCAAGAACCTTCTCCTTAAATCAGAAGAAAAGAAAACAAACTAAAGAAAATCAGCAGATGTAGCAAGAAGTCATCTAGGCTGAACAGGGAACTCTGGACTGAGCCTAAACACAAAAATGGAATGTATAGAAGGTGGAAGCAGGGTCAAGCTACCCATAAGGAATATGGAAGCATCACCTGGGTGTGGAATGTGGGCCTGCTACTGAACAAGGTGGACAATCTTGTGCCAAAGGACACACAAATGTTCAAAGTCTTCTTTGCTTTGGCCTTTACTAGCAAGGTCTCCTCTCAAGCTTATCTAATTCCTTTGTCCAGTAGCAAAGCTTGTGAGAGAGAGGTATTACCCATGGTAGAGGACAATCAAGTTAGAAACTACTTAAGCAGACTGGACGCACACAAGTTCATAGGCCTGGATGGGATGCATCTGAAGATGCTGAGGAAGTTGGTGCATGTCATTGCAAGATTCCTCTCTCTTATCTTTAAAAGGTCATGTTGATAGCAGGTTTTTGATGACTTGAAAAAGAGAAATGTCATGCCCAGCTTCAAAAATGGTATGAAAGAGAGTCTGGGAAATTGCAAGCTGGTGACTCTTAACCTCAGTGCATTAGAAAATTAGGGAGAAAATCCTGGAAGCCACTTCCAGTCATGTGAAGGAAAGGAAGGTGAGTGGGAAGAGCCAATGTGGATTTACCAAGGGCAAATTGTGCCTGACCAGCCTAATTACCTGCTACAGTGAGACGACTGGTCCTGTGGATGAGAGCAGTGGCTGTAGATTATCTGGATTCTAGCTAGGTTCTTGATACAGTTTGTTAGAAATCCTTACAGCCACATAGAGGAGATATGAACTGGATGGCTGGACTATGAGGTGGTTCGATCATTTGGCTCAAAGTGTGGACGTCAGTATTTAGAAGCTTAATTGGCAGCCTGTTACAAGAAGCATTCTTCAAGGGTTGATGCTAGGGATTATAATGTTTTTTAACACCTTCCTCAACAAACTAGTTGATGGGATGTGATGTGTACTCATCACATTCATGGATGACTCCACACTGGAGTGAGCAGTTAATACACTGTAGGGCTGGACTGCCATTCAGAGGGACCTTGACAGCTAAAGAAATGGGCTGGCAGAAACATGAAGGCAAACAAAGTCCTGTACCTGTGATAGACCATAGGGATAACTTCCACAGACAAGGATACCGCAGACAAGTTGAACATGAGGCAGCATTGCACCCTTACAGCAAACATTTATTGGGCTACAGTAGCAAAAGTGTAGTCAGCAAGTTGAAGGAAGTGATTACTCCCCTCTCACTTGTAAGACCGCATTTGAAAAACCTTTCCTAGCTTCAGGTTCCTCGGTACCAGCAAGATATTGACAAAGTGGGAGCATACGACATACAAGGAGAAGCAGAGAATTGTAGTTGCTTCGCCTGTACAAGGGTAAAGGTCAATGAATCTAATTGCTGTCTTCAGCTACCTAATGGATAGTTACAGAAAAGGTGGAGCTAGACTCTTCTTGGATGTGCACAGTAGCAGGACAAGTGATGATGGATACAAGCTGCAGCAAAAATATTCTGACTGGATGTAGGGAGGAATTTCTCACCATGGGAGAGGTGAAGCCCAAGAACAGATGCCTGAAGAGGCTTATGAAACCCCATGCTTGGAGATTTTTGACACTTGACTTATCTAATCTGAAGTAGGCCCTGCTTTGAGTAGATTGCACTAGGTGACCTCCAGAGGTCCCTTTCAATATAGTTTTTTCTGGGAGTGTATGGTTATCATAATATAAGTCCTTAATGCAATTCCTGGCAAGCTGGATATGTTTTAAAATTTAAAAAAAAAATCATTCTCCATGAAAGTCTCCAGGTAATGAAGGCAATGAGAGGCATGCATTCATTAATCATGCTTGCCTACGCGCAAAACAGAAAAGAGGATTTCAAATATGTATCAGTGCCCTGAGAGCACTAGTGGCCCTGCCTGTCCCTACCCAGCCCCTCAGGGCTCCCCTCACCCTGCCCAAGGCCCAGGACCCCATGTCAGCCCCCCGGGGCCGTGTCAGCCGTCAGCCCCTGCCCCAGCGAGCAGGGCCCGTCTCCAGCTGCCCACAGCCCTGCCCTGCCCGGCCATGGGCCGAGCTGGGCCCATGTCTGAGCCTGGCCTCGGCCTGTCCACATCCCCAGGGAGGTGCCCGATGCCTGCGGCTGGGGCTGCCCCGGTGCCCTCCAGCCCTGTGCCTGTCTGGGGCTGGGATGGGCACTGGCTGCCAGGCCCTGCCCTGAGACCCCATGGGGAGCCCCCGTGGTCCTGGCCCCGGGAGTCTCTGTCCCCCGCAGGGCCCTGACAACTTCCTGCAGGGTTCTGCAGACGGCATGGAGAGCTTTTACTTAACAACGAAATTATTTTTATTGAAACGTTTTATGTAGGACACCACAGAGAGTTTGCTGTGAATGTCAGACAAATTCAGTCTCTCCTGGACTCAAGAGTCCAAAATTGCATCTTCCAAAACAGAGGATGACCTTTAACATTTGCAGTCGTACCAATAACTGCATCGTGGCCGCTGCCGTATACCTGCAGGGACAGGAGCAAAAAGCTGAAGGGTTTTAGTGTCCCAGGAGCTAAGCTCTTCTCAGGGATGATGGGAGAGCAGAGAAGATGGCCCCATCTGGGATAAGAGGAAAATCAACGTAGGAACAAAAAAATCAGAGACCATCAGAATTCTTGACAAATCTGGTTTCCCTTCAGCTTTGCTATGTGTAACAGCAAGTGTTCAAAGAGGTGGTGGTAGAGCTGACCCAGGGCTTCTCTTATGAAAATTGAAAATGGCTCATACCTCAAAAGAAGTGTTTCTTGGGAACAGGCCGTATTTTTTGCAAGTTTAGTCAGGAAGGTTTTCTTTGCTTCATGCTGGCATATCCAGGTAGAAGCAAGCGTCTCACAGCCACATTTCAGAAAAGTCACTGATACGGTGAATAGGACATTTGCTTGGTGTAAGCCCCATGTTCAGCACTTGCTCTGACACAGTTTGCAAAGGGCAATGACAATTGCCTCGACCACGACTTTTTTGATGTCAGATTTCTTTTACTGCTCCTGTTGGAGCTCTTTAAGTTTAAATAATTTAAATACATATTGGAGCAAAGAGTTGAACATGAATCTCCTGTATCCTGTGTGAAGGATCTAAACATGGTGCTGTAAAGACATTTGGAGGGGAGGAAGAAAGACAGTATCCAAAGTCTCTTTTTCAGGACTAAACACTGATTCTTTATATCCCTGCTGTATGCCATAAACACAAAGCTTGTGTCTATTCCAGGACTGTACTACAAATTTATCATTGATTGTCTTAATTTTTTTTCATTGAAAACTTTGAGAATTTCTTAGAGAGAAAAAAAATCTCAAATATATTCACAAAATGGGGATTTCCTTCCTCAGGCAGTCTGTCTCGCAGAAAAGATGATCTCCTTTGCTGAGCCATGCTGCCAGAACTCCTCCTTTTTTTGAAAGGAAATTACGGTTCCTGTGAAAGTGCCACAAATGACATAGACGGTTGGCAGCGCAGAATCATTATTGCTTGTTGAGTAAACATTTTCAAGCAGAGAATAAATAAATCCTCATCATAAATGAGGATTTGGAGAGGGGCAACAGAGAACTGTGTTAGTGTATTGTTACCATACTAAATGTGTCTGCTACCAAGCTATAGCAAAATTAACTAGCATGACTACTTTTATCCATGCAAAGGGTGGATCAGAGCGGGCAGATGTGGGGCGTCTGTGTCTAGGGAGGGGGGAAATGCCGTTATATGTCAGGAAGGTGCAGGAGGTAAGGGCTTCTCTTCTGCTTTCTCCTACAGACTTCACTGTGAGCTGTCGACCTCAGCAAAAATTCAGCTGATGGAGAAAAGACTGTTACATATATCGTTCCAAAGGCTTTTGTGTTTCAGTACTTGATGGTACTGGAATATATGTAAATATTGTGAAAGAGTCACATGGTATCTCCCGTCACTGAAGTGAGTTTCATTTTCTACCCAAATGAACACATTATTTGGGAGTTTGCTGATGACTGGTATCTCTCACAGTACAACAGTGAACTCCTAGCCTGACCTTAAAGCAGCAGACGGATTGTGTTGCTACAAGTTCCCGCTGTACAGTTAGGAGTTTGCATGCTTGAATTCACACTTTGCAAAGCTCTGGAGTGACAGTTTACACAAGATTGCAGGGGATGAAAGATGACCTTTAAAAAACTGCACAACATACTGTCTAACTAGGATGAACGTCCATATAGGCTGATGACCTAGAGGTAACAGCCCAGATTGTGTCTCAGGCACCTGATAGCAGAATGCTCTCAATGCATGATCCTTTTATTTGGGAATTCACTTTTCTAGGGGTCCTTAGGAATGCAGCCCCCCTTACTTTAAGGTATGACTGAGACTGCAATTGTTCATTCAGGCTTTTGCCTCTGAAAGTGCAAGGTATTTGCTTTTTAGATAAACCTCTCTGTAGGTTTTCTATGGATAGCAGTTGACTGATGGCGCATTTTTGCTCCCTTGTCCCACTGATGCTCAGAGACTTTCATTCTGAGCTATTTTATGCTACCAGGAAAAATGAAAATAGACTAATCAAGGCTGTGTCCATTTTGATAAATAAAACAGGACCAGCTTTCTGAACCTTAGCTCTGTGACCAAGAGGATAGACAAGCTCAGGTCCAAACTGCTTATGGCCAGCCCCCTTCAGAGCATGTGTCTTGGAGTCAGATAGGAGTAGTGCAAACCAGAGCAGGGGAGGAGGCTGCCAGTTAAGCAGTGTGAAGTCCAGTGCTTGAGCCTGCTCAGCCTGTTTTTTTCTCCTATTTAGAAGTGTTAACACACCTTAAGAGAGCAGACAATATCTGTGCGACAGGCTGCAGATGCATACAAAATGCCACTTCTGAATGGATTTCTCCTTCTTTCAAGGAAGCATACATAGAAAGTAGGGGTCAATACAAACTCAGTCAGACTATCCCTAACCAATGACTGTTGTATGACTGTAGCATGTTATGCTTAAGGACCATGGTGATGACCACATTTATTTTTTTGATACAGGAAAACCTTTCCTATTAATGGAAAGGTTTAGATGGTTAATTCACTGGGGCATGTTTAATGTGGCGGAATTTGCACCCAGTTGCAACACCTGGAAGTTAACGTTACAGAATGAATAAATTCTATTACGAGCCGAGACCCGCAGAGACGCGTGGGTGCCTGAGTGTCTCCCTCCAAGCGAGTGAACTGTGGTCGGTTTGACTGGTGGTGGCTGGTGCTTAGCATACGCAGCTCAGAACTAAGTCTCCAGGCATCCATTAAGATGCTTTCCAGTAAACAATGTATTCTATTTGCTCCTCTAATGATGGATGATTTCTTCACCATTCTTCTAGAATAAGGTATTTTTTGAGCAACCTGATCTAGTTGAAGATGTCCCTGCTCATTGCAGGGGGGGTTGGACTAGATGACCTTTAGAGGTCCCTTCCAACCCAAACTATTCTATGTTTCTATGATTCTATGATTTACCTTCTTGCACCGCTTCCAGATCTTGGGGCTTTGTAAAAACCTGTATTAGAACTGCTGTAATTTGCAATACATCAGTAGTATGCAACTCAATTTCTTCTGTTTATGATAGTGTGGACTGAAAGGCAAGCAGATAGTAAAAGTACATTTCAAAGCAAAGAAATCCATATATGTAAGTCAAGTCAATTAATGCTAAGGCATAATCAATCCTATTTGACCAGTGAATAAACTCACTAAGCAGCTAACAGTGAAGAATCTGGAGTTCTTCTATGCATGCAAGAAGAAATCTACTGCATAGAGATTATGGAGCTTTTCTCCCTGTGGGTTTGTGGGGGGAAAAGCCTTACACTAGCTTCACATATGCTACTAAAGATCAACATTTTGTATTTCCTTTACACATTTATTTTCTGTTCTTGTAAGAGGCAGTTACCTTAGGAAAATAACCCAAATGGTAGATCTGGGCAGAGAAACTCTTACCTACACCTCAGTTTTCTTCCACAGGAATCCTAGTGATTACCACTTTGCTAATGCAGGAGCTGAGCTGGAAAAGCAGCTTTGAGCATACATATGAGATGACAGCCACCATTTGCCCTTGCTTGGGCCAGTCCACTCTTATCCCTTTATTTTAATAAGTAGGTTCCCAGTGGGGCAGGATCCTTGCCAAACCTTATAGAAGGTGCCCTTCTACCGATACTTTTGCTTTCCACATAGACAATTTTTTTGCTCAGGTATTTGTTTTTAACACTGCTTCAGATTTCCATCACTACAATATTTGAGTGTCTCAGTCTTAGATGAATTTTCTTCTTTCAGCTTCCATATGAAATGGGGAAGGCTTTGTGGTTTTTTTGTTTTCAAATCCTAGTTGCATGGGGAGAGACCAGAAGCACAGAGATTCTACGGCTCAGACTCTCAAGCCCAGTGAGGTGCCTGACTCCTACACGGCAGAAATTCCTCTGTGTGTTGGAGGGCCTGAGCATGACTTGGTTGGAATCACACAGAAAGCACGTGGATGATGGGGGAATGTGGACAATGAATTGGCCTCCTGTGTCTGGAGTGAAAATGGGCTTGGTGGGCATGCACTGAACAGCTGTTTGGCAGCAAGAAGCGAAGACAGCGAGCAGGAGGGTTTGGAGAGAGTGCTACATCTCAGCCTAGGGTCTTTAATGGGTCTAACCTGATCCTTTCTTTCAGCATGGCAGTGCCTTACAGCATGAATTATTATATTGCACTCAGAGGAGGCAGTTCATTGGAAGATGTTAAAATTAAAAATAGAGTTGCATTTTCAGGAATTGTGGGGCACAGGGAAAGGAAAAAGTGTTCATACCAAACATTTTTAAGATGTATATATTGGTGTCATTACTCCCAGTTTCTGACTCGGTGACAATGGTGTATGTGTATGAAGTGGTGAATTTTTCCTAAAGTTCACTGTTCTGAGTGCACTTGCTGAATGAATTTTGTTAATCTTCACTTTAAGCATAAAAGCACATCTGCTACAGTCTTCACACATCTTGCTTTTCCTTTTGACCCACAAAATATTCCCTTTATTATACCCCATTTAGTTGGGCTGTTTTAATTCTGAAGACTACAATATAATAATAAAAAAAAAGGGACATACCAAGTTTTTAAAAGAAGTTTCTGGAGGCTTGAACATGGCAATAAAGCCTTAGGGACAATCTGACATTTTGCTGAAATAAAAAGTTCACTAAAAATGTATTGTGAAAAGCAAAACCAATATAGATAGATTCCAAATACCTCTGTTGTACTTCCTTGCTTTTGTTTAAGTTTAAACCAACCTTTTGGAAACAAAATTAATCTTCAGAACAGTGGCTCAGGGTATGTATCTTCATGTATTATAGACTAACAGTATTAGACAGACCCTCTGCAAATTGACAGAAGTTTCACTGAACAACAGCGCCTGGCTTATCATATATTTTAGTTGCTTCTGCCTCTCAGCCAGAAAACATGAATGTGTATCTGGTGAAAATGTGTTTGGTGCTCAATGACCTTTTTAGTTCAAGAAGATCCATCTGTCTTTCCTTTTACTTCATGCATCTTCACCACGGAAAGAGAGCTCAAGGAAAATGAAGTTTCAGTTTTCGAAAAACTGATGCCTAGGAATGATTATGTGGCTTGTGTTGCAAAAAAGGCAGCTGAATATTTTGTGGCTTAATTTCAAGATTCCCATCAGTGTTATAAAGAACACAGTTGGGTTTTAATTACTGCCTTAGTACTACCAAGATGATCTAATAAAGCTGATTATTTTGGTGCTTGCTATTACTTGTTTCTTTAAAATAAAAGCAGAAGTATCTTCCAAAATTATATTAATATATTATTTTAATTACAAACTACTCCAATTAATTTCTTTATAAGCTCTACTATAACCAGTTCCAATTGATTCCTAATTACTGCCCATAATATCTGGATATTGCAGAAGTGCACATCCTCTATAAAAACATACATTTAGATCAATCATATCCTGAATCTTCACATGGATGAAACCAATATTCTGCCAAAAAAGAGAAGAAAGTGGATGTCCGTGCCGATTCCACCCTAGCCAAATCATGTACTAGGTGTGATGTTAGGTGCTTAACAAAAGAGAAGAAAGAACACTGCCACACTGGGAATCCAGCCCACAGCTTTGATCCTTGAAATATGTGTTAAAAAAACTTCCATATGCAATAAAAGGTGAGTAGTAATATTGTTCTGCAGATGGGGAAAACTGAAGCACAGAGGCTGAAATATGTCAGAGTAATACAGTGGAAGAACCAGTAACGAAACACAAATATCTTGCTCTGTCAATTTACCATGCAATTTATTCAAAGGTTTTTGGGCAGGTCCTGCTCCAGTACTTCAGGCTGATAAAGGTTATGTCAACATTAAGTCCACGCTTGCACCCTGTGCAAACCCCAAAGGCCCATGACACCCCTTTATTTGCTTTTGGAGCCCTCCCAGAGCCCCTGGAGCTCAGAGGGGAGGTAGCTACCTGCCTGTGGGTCGAATGGCAAACCACAGCTGAGAAAGGGTTTAAGAAACAGTTTCTAGCTGCCTCCCAGCCATATGCTTCCGGGCTGAGACCAGAGCCCATCTGTGCAAGCATCCTCCTTCATTTCGGTCCTGGCAGGAGGCAGCGGTCTCTGCTTAGGAGCAGTGCCACTAGCTGTGCCTTCCAGGAACAGAGGAGGACGGATGCAATGTGTCCGTGCAGGTGTGCGAGTCACCCTGTAGGCCCCAGCCACAGAGGCAGGATTAGCACAAAAAGGAAAGTGGGAAAATGAAGTATCCACAGTGAATGCCTAGTGTAACAGCTGTGAACTGTTCATATTTCAAATACCGGTGTCTGCATTCGTAACGCGATGTTTGTTTTCTCTTTAACATCATTCTCTTCAAAGACGTTACTTTTAAGACTTCCCCCCACCTTTTGGGTTCAAAACTTACCGGTTGGCTTAACGTAAGCATGGATTCTTCTGCTTTTTTGTCAGGATGAGAAACCTGTGACATGAACTCTTTTGTGATAGGCTGCTCATATGACCTTTCCAATGCGGCCTGTAACAAGGCAGTAGTGGAAATTTTATGAGAAAACTTTTCAACTTTGGTCAAGCCTGTCATTGTGTGTATTTCATTCACGTCAACCTTCTTCCCACTCATCTTAGCTTCTCATTGACCCCACAAGTCAACACTTGCTTGGAAATGTCACCCTTGGAGAACAGTCTGATACAAAATGACCGCTGTTCCTTTTCATTTTCTCCTTAGATCTTAACATGCTTTTCTTCTGAGGGCCACCAGCAATAATCACCCCCTCTCCAAGAACATGTGAGTAAATAGCTCTAGGGTGTTGCTGTTCTTTATGTGAGAGTTGGACTGGGGAAAACCAGAGGAGGATACCACTTAAACAGAAGACCGCTAGATCGTTTTGATGAATCCACGGCACTGCATAGTGGAGTGATATTGTCTGTGTAAGTTAAGGGACGGTTTCACTTGTGTCCTTGTCACACGTGGCTGCACAGAAAATTGCTTCCCTGCTCCTGCTCACAGCTGCATATATGTGTGTAATTTATCTTTTTCACGGGCTAGGCATATGGCGAGGGAGGAGCATGGGAAAAGCTGTCCTTCCAATTTTCCCATTTTCCCTTAGCGAGGGGAGGCTCCTGCATTTGCTTAGCTGGGGAAAGTTGCCCCAGGCCTTCCTAGGTCTCCTAATGAAGTGGCACCAGGATGTAGTGCTCAGCCCAAGGGCTCTTCCCAGTAGGAAGGCGATGGCAGCTCCTGCTTTCCGAGAGTGAGAAGGATGCTTTGCAGCACAAATAGCAAAGCAAGAAGCGAATGTGCAGAGCCAAGATTCTGAGCTGAAGCTCAGACTCTTTTTGAGATGCTTTTATTTCCAAAGAACAGGGGTGTTTCACAGCATCTTGGTGCTCTTTGTTCAGGGTTTCTCAGTGACTCCAAAGGAAATGTCTGGAAAGGAAAACTAGCTTTTGCCGATAGCTTGGGATGTGAAGCTCAGACCGGATCCCCTGTCGTTTCAACATCCTCCTGGAAGGGGCAGCTTGTCTTTATTTAAAGTTATGCAAATCTTCTGGATAAAATTCAGCATAGCTGGTCCCAGTGAGCGTGTATGGGTGAGGAACGCAGCCCGTTGTCCTTACCTGATGCCCTCCTCCTCCAATGAGGCGAATAGCGGTACGGCTGTATTACACAAAAAACGGGGGGAAACAAATTGTCTTCCTTTTAGAAGCCCTCCTCCTCCAATGAGGCGAATAGCGGTACGGCTGTATTACACAAAAAACGGGGGGAAACAAATTGTCTTCCTTTTAGAAAAAACTTCCTGTTGGGAGTTTCCACGCCTCCAGCAGCTTCTGCTACAGAAACTCGGGATCACCTACGCTCGTAACAGGAGCCAGACACGCCGCCGCGCCCCTCCCCGCCCTCCAGGGCCGCC